CAGATGTTCAGTAGGATTTACAGATGTACCTGTGGAGGTTGATCTGATTTCTTTGGTTACCATTCCTGATATCTGTCTCTTTAGGTAATCATCAGTTCAACTCTAAGGTCTACATCTAAGGTTGTCTGCAGCCCCGTGGCCGATATGTCCTACTGTAATCAGAGGAACATCAGCTTTACATAGGACAAATATTGGCCGATACCGATGTGTAAACAAAACTATGAATACCAGCATGATATATCAGTCTACCCCTAATTATGACTTTTCAAGATGTGATTATCATTCAAAACCTTTCAAGTCATAATTGGGATTTTGTGTCTCATAATCGCAAGTTGGGGTCATAACTATGAATATATTTAGTGGCAATCTGATAACTCAAATATTACTTTTTACAATTAAGATTGTTAACCACTTGTTTTATGATAAATCGGCCTGCCACACTTCTTGATCCACTCACGCAGTTGGCAGCAGACAACTGGAGCCAGAAGTGGGGATTCTAAAAATGGCCAAGCACATACTGCTTGTACGATTAACAACCTACAGCCCATCAATATGATTTAAAGAATCCCCCTTGTTACAATTTCGGTAGTGTAAATAATGGAAAAGCAAAGGTATAATTATAAAGATGACAGCATTCTGAAATGTGTAATTCCTCGCTGTAGTTCTCATCAGATGAGAAGAGGGAGAATGGAGGGAAAAAAGAACTAAGAAAAAAGGAACACCAGGCTGATCGGAGAGAGCTTGAGTCTCCTCCCCTTCCGAGCAGCTCTGGGTTACCAGAACAAAGAAAAAAAGAATGTAAGTGAATGGGTCTATAAAAACTGTTTTCTGGTCAGCAGTAGCTCAGGAGGTCCAGTAATCGTAAAGCTGTAGGTTCAATTCCAGCTCCTGCCAGAGAATGCTGCTTTTGTGTCCTTGGGCAAGACACTGTAACCGTCTTGTCTGCTGGTGTTGGTCGGAGGGACCGGTGGCAGGCTCATTTCTGTCAGTGTGTCCCAGGGCAGCTGTGCCTACATCGTAGCTTACCATCACCAGCGTGTGAATGGGTGAATGACTGATTGTGTTGTGAAGTTCCTCGGGGGGGTTGCAGAACCCTAAGAAGGTGCTATACAAATACAGGCTATTTACCATTTACCATTCTGGTCAGCTTTGCCTTATGCCCTGAATCACACACATGTTGTACTTCAATTTAAATGATAAATAATTATTCAAACATTGACCGTTAAATTACTGGACAAACCCTCCATGGCATCATCCATAGCTCTCTAATGGGCCATTCCCATCTGTACCGGGTCGGCCCGGGCCGGGTAGCCCCAGTCGTCCCCAGCCTGGCCCGGTTGATTCCACACATCCTTGCCTTAAGCCCATGTGGTGTGAATTTGCTGTCAGCAGTGGGTGTGTTGGCCCTGGTCGGCCTGAAGCAGACCCCCTCGAGAAGAGGGCTGAGAATGAGCCTTGGTTGGCCCGGAAAAATACCAGGCCACCCAGATATGTAAACAACCTACGCTACCCGGCCCGGGCCGACCCGGTACAGATGGGAATGGCCCATAAATGGCTTGTTTGAAGCAAAATGGGCAGTTCCCATCACCGCCATCTTGGCCGTGTAACATGTGCTGTCACTTCCACCAAATACAAAAATGGGCAACGAGGTGGAGCTGAGAGTGGGGCTGTGAGGGTGGAAGCAGATGATTGACACCCATTAAACTCTGAACCCATGAAGGTATGAGCTAACTGAGCTCAGTGGTGCAAAAAGTGGCTCTACAGTGTATCAAATCATCAATTCAAACTTTATTTATAAAGCGCTTTTCCAACAGGAAGAATGCAACTCAAAGAGCTTGACAGATTTGTTTGTTTTGGTATATGGTGGCTTGTCTCCGTCTTTAGCCTAATTTATACTTCTCCGTCTGCATCGGAACAGACAAACACAACGCCATTATGCGTCAACGCAGCGGGCTTGCGGCGGAAGACAGAGACATGCCCCAGAAGTTAACGCATGCTTGTGATTGGTCAACACGCTGTTTCTACCTCATTTCCTATCACATACTCCATTTTCTTTATATTAGTCAACAACATGGCAGCCACCATATACCAAAACAAACAAATCTTCGAGCAACATGGAGTCAACGGACTTCAATGAAGGAATATAAGGACATGCAGTGAGCCCTCAATTCCTGAAAGGAAATAGCAGGAAAAGTGGGCTTGTAGGTATCGGAATGCTTGGAAATGGGGAAAATTTGGCTAACATTTGTAGTGTTTGCTATAAGACAACAGGATGAAATTATTTTGCAGCAACTTATTTTCCATTCTTACCAACTGTTATTTAACATGAACTGCTTGTTTTTATGCCATACACCTAACAACTACCCTTTCTTATTTCTAGGGAGAACGAGAGGGCTCATGTGGATCTTCATCATCAGCGTTACGTGAGGCGGAGTCCTCGTCTGGTTTTGCTGTATCATCTGCAGAGCCTGCCTTACAACCACACAAAATGTCCCAAGCTGACGTTGATAAGGAGAAGTCAGCAAATGAAGCTGAGCCCTCAGTGAACCAAACAGTAAACCGACAAAATACCTCAACCCCGCGGCATGTGAAGGCTGTGAAGAGGAGGATGCAGCTTGATGTGGATGACTGTCTTGCACAAGAACTGGGTAACATTGATGGGCAGAGGGCAGAGCTTACCCGGAGGTTGACATGGATAAACACTGATCAATATGAAAGATTCAGAATGTCTGTGGCTGATTTGATCCGGAGTATGCCTGAAAACTTGAAGCTGGAGGTAATGCGACGGGTGCAAATCCTTCTTTATGACATGCTAGGATAAAAATTTGTTTCCAAAAAAGGAAGTGTGCCCCAGCAAAGGCTCATGTGGAAATAACCGATTTGTTTGCTTGTTTTTATGCTTAGAAAAAATAAAGTTGTCATCTAAAGCTTGGAATTAAGATATTTTCACGCAACCTTATTTTATTTGTAGTTTCACCACAACAGTGCTGCTCTAGAGAAACAGCTCCACATAAACCAAACAATAGCGATTTTAGAGGTTTTTACTGGCAATAGCAAATACAGAAGATATGAGCTGTATAGTGATGTTTGACACAGCATCATTGCACAAGGTGACTGATAATCACAAACACTAGAAATGGCACAGATAAACAGGGAGAACGGTACCACCACCCCAAGGATGAATAACATAAAATCTAGTCAGTGGCATTAAATGTGCCACGTGACACATTCTCCTCCTATCAAGACACAGCTACTGCTGGCGTCAAAAAAGAATTGTGTCAGTTAATTTCTCACGCTGATGGCATTGCTCTTGTACATCATCCTTGTGCTGACTGGCCATAGATTGGAGTCAACATCAACCATACAAAGTCAATCTCCAGGGCACATCGTTCTTGCTGAGTCAGTATCATTGACAGTGGGGGGTATCGGCTCTGTAGAGAGTTTGCATCACCACAATATGCCAGGTAGTTGTGGAGAACCACACATGCCTTCACAACCTCCACAACTTTCTCTGGGTGGAACTCTATGGTCCCAAGAATTTGTCACAGTGCTGCTAGGATCCCAAAGTGTTCTATGACGTGCCGGGCTCTGCAAAGGCAATAACTAAAGATCAGCTTCTCTCTCTGTGTGTGTATTGTGTCCTAAAAACATCAGCAACATGAGGAGTTGTCAAACAGTACATAACCACAACTAGAAATGTTAAACATATGGTTATGTGCATACATGGAAAAGGTCGCATTATGTTGGTGTGCAGGGGGAAGGCAGTATCAGCAACTAGCAGGTGTGGTGCTTCAGTCCTGGTTCTGGGGAGAAACGCAGGCATCAGGTTCAACTTGTTGTTCAGTAGCATCGAACCAAAGATGCCCTTAATAGGGCAGTCATTGAAATATTTTCATTTTTTTAATTTTAAACCCCAGGGTATTATTGTAGTCCATAACCTTCTTCTTCTTCTTCTTCTTCTTCTTCTTCTTCTTCTTCTTCTTCTTCTTCTTCTTCTTCTTCTTCTTCTTCTTCTTCTTCTTCTTCTTCTTCTTCTTCTTCTTCTTCTTCTTCCTCAATTCAAAGCGTTAAATAAAAACAAACAAAACATAAACATCTACACCAAACAATATGAATGAAAAGGGCAGAATTAAGAAAGATTACCTGCCCCATTTACAAACTAAACTTTTTTATGAGACTTCCATACAATTATCAGAAACAACAAAACAAAACACAATTTCATCTTACTAAACTATACTATACTGACCTAATCAGACACTATCTAAATTTAGATTTTTGTAACTCTGTAAAACACATTGTTTCTTACTTTGTTTCCTTTTTCTTAAACAAACACAGTGAACAGAAAAAAAGAAAAGAAAACAAAAAATGAATACTATTATATATATATTTTTTATATACATATATATATATATATATATATATATATATATATATATATACTATTATATATATATATATATATATATATATAATAGTATTTTTTATTTTATTTTCTTTTTTTCTTTTCACTGTGTTTGTTTAAGAAAAAGAAAACAAAGTAAGAAACAATGTGTTTTACAGAATTACTAAATATATGCATATGTGCATATGCGCATGTGTGTGTGTGTGTGTGTGCCGGAGGATGAGTGTTCTGAAGGGGTTTTTATTGTTAGACTGTTTTTAAAGTTCTGGGGATGAGAGGGAATTTGGGTAATTTGTTAAACACTTTGAGTTGCATGTATTGTATGATTAAGTGCTATAGAAATAAAGTTTGATTGATTGATTTCTCCTGTTCATCATCACTGATGGCAAGATTGGTTGGCACAATAACTGTCCTTCTCCATTTCCCAGATAAGTCTCAGTTTAAAACAGCAAAATAAATGTAATATCATTGTTATAATTACTGTTACCATGAATATTAAGATTATGTCTAAAAAAACAACAACAGATTTTACCAAAAAATATTTGTAATTTTATTTACTTGTTCAGGGAATATGATCAAATATGACAGATTTGATTTTCATGCTAAGATTTCACCATTTTCATTGAGTGTAACATTTACAACACATTTATCCTTGTTTAGCACAACTACCGGTAGTCTACTTTGTGATGTGAGAGTTTCATAAACCAAGCATTGTTAGGAGACCGAGGAGACCGAGCAGTTTTCTGGCTCTGCAGAACCACCAAAATTTGGCGCCTTATAGCCCCGCACTGATTGGTGGAATGGCGCCATGGCGCAAACCGTGACTAGCTTGATCTCTGATGATTGTTTGGGTAAAATCCCATAATTCTAAGAGTTTGTGAAAAGGCACACCGACATCATTTATGATGTGAGTGGAAGTGTCTAAATATAGACATTGGCTCTATAAAGGGGTAAACATGCCACCATCAGTCTTCCATTCATAACTTCTGAGGTCCACCATCATAAAACGATACTGGAAAATAGTCAACCCTGTCCTGGATGCCATTTTGTAGCTGGAAGCTACAGCCTGCTGACTACTACCTGAAGCCAACACACGTAGAGTCATGGCCAGTCTCTGTGCAACATTCACAGGCATGGTGTGTGTGCCCTAGCCTGGCCAGCCAGACTCTCCTCTGTTCTGTGCTGTGGTACTTCAGTCTCTGTGCAGAATTAAACAGAGAGAGTCTGGCTGGCCAGGCTACGTGTGCCCTGGTGCCGTATGAGTGGTTCCAATCAACAAACCAACTCATCAAATCTGTCAGCTGACATGCAAAAATATTTGAAATGCATTTCCTCATCCATATCCCTCAAAGGTCCTAGAAGCCCTAAAAATTCACTCGTGGTATTTACTGGCCGAGCATTCCGCCGACCCTGCTGTCTCCTTTTGCGCTCTTGCAGTTGTTTAAGCAAGATAAGCCTTTTTTTCTTTTTCAGATCATGCGGTTCCAGTTCGATTAAAAATCTCTCTGTGTTGCTCGCCATTATTCAGCTCGCGGTAAGGCTTTTTCCAGGAAGATCATGGCACACATGACTGTGATGTCTATGGGACTGCTCCCTGATGAACGCAACATCCTCTGCTGTCCTGGCGGGGAATAGCTGGGCAACACTTCCCAGGGGACACAGAAGGCTGAAAGCAAAATGTCTCTGTCAGTGCGTATGCGTCTCTCCCTCGCAGAGCTGCAGGAGAAGGCTTAACCCATTAAACGTGGCTTTGTTTGTTCCAACTTTTATTTAAAAACTGAAAGCATAATGTATCAAACACGCGCAGGTAAGAAAGCTTTTAAACCACTCACATAACTGTTTTACATTGTTATACTATGTACAAACGACATTCATAGCGGTTCCAAACAGGCTGCAATAATCTTCACATCAATCGTTTTTATTTCCATTATAACAACAGGCTCTGGTGTGCTTTTAATGTGTTAACTCCATTGTGAGCACTTAGCGCACACATCTTAATTTTTCTTTGAGACACAGTTAAACATGGCTATTGTCAGAATGAAATATTTGAATGTTTACCATTGAAGTGAATAATGATAAACAAAGAGAACACATGTCAAGGTACATAATCAAACATGGATCACATGAAGCTTTCATTTGATTCTATTAAGGTTTTGAGTCTCCGAGCACTAATTCCTCTGACAGCACTCTAAAGGATTCTGAAGCAGGTCCAAAGTCGAGCTTGGACTCTACCCCAGTCTTCATCAGAACAAATTCTTGCTTGTAATTCATCCCCTGACTTCCTCATAAAGTCATGATGTCCCAAGATGCCTTTCTCTGGATCTGCGAGCTTGAAGCTGCCTCACTGGTAATTTGATGGGCTGCTTGTTGAACTTTTCCATGATTTCTCTAATCCGTGACAAGTTGGTGCGGCCGATGGTGAAGTCACACCTGGTGGCGCCCATCTTGTACCCCACCTCACACTTCTTACTGGTGAAGCTGTAGCCCTCAGCTCTGGCTGTGACTTTGTACTCTCCAGGGTTCAGCAAGCGCCAGTAATCCCCATCAGCAGCTGAAGAGGCACACAAACACAGAGCAAGTCAATGTTTAGCTCTTCTATGTATATTGTGCAGCTACCACTTAGCACAGCCAAGCATCAGTCTCAACTTTCTCACATCAGCTTGCAGCTGAGGGAGTTTGCAGACATACGGTGCTAACCTGACATGCATTTTAAAAGAGGTTGCCATTATTTATTTTGCAAAACAGATGAAAAATGCCAAGCTTTCTGTGTGTGCATCAGATAAAAAGGCTTCCTTTTGTCTATTTTCAACAACAAATGTAACTGCTTGCTGTGGTTTCCACTAGAAGCAGAGATGTGCTTGACCCCCGTACTCCACATGAGGTAAGTGGGTGTGCAAAAACCTCAGCTGAAAACCTTTAGTAGCTTACAGAAAGAAGTCCTATTATGGTTGATACAACCTCATGCTGCATTCTTTGGGGTATTTATGTTGACCCCAGCTGTAGAAAAACACAAATATTGCTAAAACTCTATGTTAATTAGACAGAAAATGAAATAACATGATATAATTTTTCAGAACACATTAAACACAAGCTTTTGCCTTTTACTTTGTGTAAAAAATGTTTTTAGATCATAGATCTAATTTCTCTGCTTGCTTCTTCTAAGTCCTGATTGTTTACTGTCAAATGTGTTTTTATTTAAAATAATTGGTACTAAAAAACTTGAAATTACTCTTCTTTCTTTTGCTCTTCTTTTAAATTTCCACCTAAATTGTGTGAGCAAAAACTGAAACAGATTAAATTATCCTGTCTGGTTTGCCAAACCATAAATTAAGATAAAAATTGTCCATTTTCTTTAAAATGCCAATAAACTGATGAGTTTACACTTCTGAAAAACTTCCAAAAGAATGATTCATCTTCAGGAAGGATGTCTGTGTCCCTTTCTGTCACTACAGCGTATTTATCATGACAGAAGACAAACAGCTATGAAACTGTTTGCTTTTCAAAGATGAATGTCAAAACAAAACAAAACCAATTGAAATCAGGTGAAAATTGCACAAATGAGTGCTCCCGTGGAAAGTGAGGTTTCTGAGAGGAAGCAGCAGCTTATTCTCAGTTCCAGAAACAACAATGGCTGACGTCTTTCTGAAAATTTTATTTCACGCTCCAAGTCTCTAACTTCTTTGCCCTGAGGATTCCTACTCAATAGTTAAATTCAGACCTGGAAGCCTCCTTGGATCCAATTCAGACACTAATCTACAACTCTGCTTAAACAAACCATCTGCTTTTGTTTTTGCCTTTAACACTTTTTTTTCATATTGCACTTTCTAGACATCATTTTGACAAAAATAAAATGCTTCCTCTGCTCTGTTTGCAAAAATGCATAAAAATAAACATGAAATGTAAGAAAAACATAAGAACTAGTCTTCTAAAAACAATAAGTGTGGCTACTTTTTTGGATAACAGTCAACAATATGCTGGTAATGTGAAACTAGTAGTGGTTTTCAGTCTGAGGTCTGGAGACTGCAGGGAGTCCTCACTATTTTGTCTGTGCTGATGTGAGATCGCTAAGATTCTATTTGTAAAAATTACATTCATAAAATCCCAATAACACACCCAATAATCAAAGTTCTGTATAACAGTTGTAACTCTGTAATACATATATATATATATATATATATATATATATATATATATATATATATATATATATATATATATATGTGTGTGTGTGTGTGTGTGTGTGTGTGTGTAATGTGTAATGTGTGTATGTGAGTAGAAGTTGTGGTTGGGAGTCCTGATTTATCTGGCAAGGGGCCCCTCAAGGACAAAAGGTTGGGAACCACTGCTCTAGTCCGACCAGCATGACGTAAACAACAACAGGAGGACAGAAATGAGGATTTTTTAGCTGGGAATGGTCACTATTTTGAGTTTGTCAGCTAAAAAGAACAATATTAAAGAAACAGAAAGGGTTTTTAACCCTTTAAGCTATTGTTTTCAAACAGGCTTCAGTAATTCTTGAGCTAGAAACTTGAGCAGAGTAAAGGATCCACCAGGCCGTGCTAGTTTACACCTTGGAGAGCAAACGTAGGCACAGTCTGATAAAATATTACCGTTGGTACTATTGAGATGTCATTTATCTTAATACAAGTTCATTTTTATCAGCCTAAATATATACCCAGAAATAAAACAGTTTCAGTGAAACTCCGCCCAAAATGTGCCTACAACAGCGTCTTGAGAAGATCATTAGTTGCATTGGCTATGATGGTCCAGTGTTAAAGGCATCTGGCTGCTGACTTAGTTTTGCCATGTGCTGGTGTGGGATCAGTTATTTCACCAGCTGAAGCAGATTTCATGTTTTTATATTTCAGTCATATTGATTAATTTCTGCAAAATATTTTGTGTCTCTAAAGATCTTTAAATTTGGTCGTTTCCAAACAGCATTTTAGTTGACTCACTCAGCTCAGTGGGGTGCCAAACCACTAAAATCAAGAAAATAAGTAACTTAAAAGAGTAATCCGTAATCACATTATTTTACAATGTATTCTTGGAAAGACTGTTCAAATCAAACCAAGTTTCCAAAAAGACTCAGTTAAAATGAATTGCAGCAGTTTACCTGTGCGAATATCGTGGTTGATGCCCTCCACAGAGATAACGGCGTTGGCTATTCCTCGACCTTGAAGGTCCCTGACTACACCTTTAATCCCACGATGCACCTGCATATGAAAACCGTCACTTTATGGCACCTGCTGCAAATTTTCATTCACAATTTACTGCTTTGTGTGACTGTGTTATGTATGAAGAATGATGCTCTGCTCTCCAGTGAGGAAAGATCACAGCCTCATATTATAATTTCTACCCTGCATCTATATTTCAATAAAAACCATGTCATGCCAGGGTTCAGATTCTCTGGAGTTTTATTGCAAAGCTGTGTTTGTGCTGCTGGGAATGCAGCCTGATTATAGAGCTCTTTGAAATCTCTATTATTCATCACCCTCATAGTTTCCTGGGGCACTAACGTTTTATAACAATGTCCTTAAATTACTCCGACTTTGTTTTCAATGCAAAGTTCTGAAAACATTAGTTTTTTTAATCATTTCCCTTTCACTGACAGGTTTGGCAGTGAATATTCTTTCAGAGACTCTGAGAGCAGTAAAATAAATCACATGAATCATGCTTTTACCACATGACATCATGTTCTTCTGTGTGTTTGAGTAAACTAAGGGTCCTAATTGGACTCTGTACCTGCTCCATGAAAACAAGAAGAGACTCGCGGTTGTTCTCCCACTCCTCCGGCAGCTCGCTCTCATGAGGGAATTTATCACAGCCCACATACATCGACAGCTCAAAGGAGTTGGTGTGCAAATAGCTGAAATCATTCATACCTGCCAAAAAGTAAAAAAGAATGCATATAATTTAAATTATAGAGGAAAATAAAAATTTAACCATTTCATTAAGCTCATAATCCTCTATTCTACAAGATGTTTAATTCATTTGAGTATGGAAGGTCATTGCATTATAATGTCAGACATGTTGTTTTATTTTGAACCTCCCATGAGTTTCCGTCAAATAATCCTTTAAATTGACCTAAACCTCCCTATTCTAGCCACACAAGCCTAATATCCAAGTGAGTGAATGTTCTAACCAATGCAATTTTCATTTTCCCCTTCAGATTTTCTGAATTAGATTGTGTAATGCGTCTAAGGGTAGAACCTTTCCAACGTTTGCAGAAAGGCAGCTGAAGATAAAGTGTCAGACTCTGCAACGGCAAAGCTGACAGACAACAGAAAACATCAAACCACATAAAGCACAAATAATTCAGTAAAATAGATTTCATGCAGAGACAATGTAAATCAAATAGGAATAGATTTCTGGATTTTTGTTAGCCTTTTTTAAGATGTGAAAACTATGACTCATTAAAGACAGGTGCCATTAAAATCATTGCATGGACAGCAGACTTTGGGATGCTCATTCTTATTAGACCATTATACAGGATGTATCTGACAAATGGTCTTTAATGGTACTGAGAAACAGAAATGATGAACGATGGAAACATTTCTGGGGTTTTTTTCATGCTAATGAGGATTTCTAAGAAAAACACTTGACAGTTCAGCTCTTGTTGTTTGACGAGCGTCTGTTTTAATGCAGACATTTTGAGAATGACACAAATATTAATTGTCACAATATTTGCTGCTTCTATTCCTATGATGGCTGTTCACAAGAACTCAAGACCATCATGATGAGTCATCAGATGAATTTTCTTTTTACCATGAAACTAAATTTAACCTCAAAGTCCATATCCACTGTGTTTCAGCCACAAACGGACCCACGGATATGATATGATCTGGGATACTCCTGTTAACAGAAATGAGACTGTTGATGACACTAGACAACCCTTTCATGCAAATTGAGATGGAATAACAAATTCTTTATAATGAGAAGAGGTGATTGTTTTATGTTCTGTAATGAAACGCATGCAGTCAACATTGTTGAACAAAAAGGCTTTCGCAGGTAGGAGTACCGCTGCTGGAATTGATCTGATTAAGAGATTGAAACAGGTTCAGTTGTTGTGTGGACAACTTCAGGGTGCATCTAGCACACACCAGGACCATCTCTGCAAGCTGATCCTGCTGTGGGGTTGTGCTATGATGTAAACAGTACAATGTAAACAGTAATGGCAGCGGCAGGGTTTCTAAAAGACTTTTTGAGGATAACCTGGGCCGTTTCTCAATACTCAAGAACGCTAATACGTTTTTGTGTAATAGACAAGTACGTTCTCGGCATGCAAGGACACCAGAAAGTCTGTTCTACCGAGTACGGGAGGACGAGGACAATGTTTGGAACAGAACCATACTCCATTGTGTCCTGCAACAAGCACTGCTTCTTGCTACAATTAAAAAAAAGACCTAACATTAAGATAAAAGTCTACTTTGTTGCTTAAATAACAAAATAACAACAAAAATGTATTATTTGTATTAGATGTGGCAAACCTTTGATCAAAACTATTAAAAAACTGCATTTCCTGCTCTTTAATTAATAAAAAATGTTGATTGTTCATCAGAACAGAGCTACGGTGCTTTTATTTTGATAGTGGGTTGGCTAATTAGCTATTTTGAATTATCGTGAAGAGTAAAACCTAAACACACACAACAAAATTTACATTTTACACACGATTATTTACAATAACAGACAACTTTCTATTAATTTCTATTATTTCTAATATGAAACATTACCGTTATTAGCTTTCTCCTCTGACATTCGGAGTTTAACGGTTTGCGACACAATGCGTTGTGGGAAACTTTGCTGTCCCAAGTCTGCAGAAGGATGCATTGATGCATCCTCAATACAATGGGTGGAGCAAAAGCACACCCGGGAACTATGAGCGAACTTGCCATTATGCATACTTAGATGGAACAGTCTTTGGGCCATCGTTGATAACGTGAGTTCACAAGTTCGGACAAGTACGCATAATGAGAAACGACTCTGGTGTCAGGAATGGGCAGCAGAGATGCCACTTTTCTTCTTGAAAGCCCAACTGATAATCATCAAAAGGTCTGAGGATCGAACAGCTGAGAAACGGTTACAGTTTATGATTTATTAGGATGCAAATCTCATTAAAAGCTTTTGAAACGCTTGTATTTCTACTTCAGTAAACCATAGAAGCATCTGACAAAATTATCTAAAACACTAACGCTGGCAACCTTTGTGAGAACCTTTCTTTTTGGCCATGCTACTGAGATTGTTGTGGCAACTTGATTTACTGAAATCCAAACTGATTGTGTGAGCCAAACTCTGAAGGAAAATTCAGACTTCAGTGAAATATTTAAACTGAAACTGTTTTTACTTTGTGGCCATACTGAACTCAAATTTTGCGTGACAGTAATTTGCACATTTTGAACAAAAACATCTCAACAGCTTCTTAATGATCAGAAGAACACTTAATGACATAGTGTTAAGGTGATGAGGTCACCAACTTCCGGCTGCAGTGTGCCAGGACGCTCCGTTGATGGTCCCGTCTTCTTTGGCAAAGTCTTCTGTGTGGCAGGCCCGTCGGTTGGCATCAGTCATCAGTCGGTGGGTGGATGCATAGGAGAAGGCCAGCCAGCGGAAGACGTGGTCATCAGGAGTGGGGGTCTGCTCCCTGGCCACCCCCTGGGAGCGAGTTCTGTCATACGGGAAGGTCACTACCAGCTCCCCTCCCTGGAGGTTCCCACCCAGCACAAAGGGCATTTTCTCCATCCACGCTATCAAAGCACGTGTCTCCAAGGCAACCTAGTGTGGGGATACGCAAGAGGCGTGGATAATGTAATTAGTGCAATCATCGAAGCACTGTGATTGCTAAATGAGCTCCCTGATGCTAGAATAATCTCATGGCAATGTGTTCTGAAGGAGAAGTGATGAAGCTATCAAAAAGGCTGTTTACACAGTCCACGCTGCAGAGCCACCTCAGGAATAATGATTCTGTTATGTAAATCTTTACAGCCCAGCTAATCCACTCATCGGCAATCGACCACCCTGTTGGGCCTTGCATAATTAACCAGCCGTCTTATCTTTAAGCACTATTAGGACTAGTCAGTGGGACAAACAAGGATAGGTTTCACAGCGTTGTGAGCACAAATGGGAATCCCAGTCCTGCAGCTGCAGCAGCTATTCTGGGGACTGTGTGTGTGACTCATCCACAGCTCCCACTAACATCAAAACACTCATGAGGTAGAGCTTTTAATAGAATGCCTGGTGTATTTTAGCTCTCAGCCTTTTCATCATACATAGCGAGCTCATCCGTTTCTCCCAAAATAGACAATGCTGATGCGCCCTCGTGACTGCCGTACCCTTTTCAAACCGTTGATGGTTTCTATCTGTGAGATTTGTTTGCTATATGGAGGTGGGTGGCGCAATAAAAGAGCACAATGTCAAATTTTGCAAATAAAAGATTACCTCATTTGTGATGATAACAAAGTTATTGGCCACGAAAAGGTCTTCTACATCAGCACAAACTTCATCCTGTGCTAGAATAATAAACTCCTACTTATAGTTGACATTTATTAATGCACTTGAAGGCAGGGGTTGGCATTTGTGAATGCATCACAAGAACAGCATTCATTTGCATTTGCATTTACATAAAAAGGTTGCCCCTTTTTTAACCATTAGCACTAAATCCTTAAACATACCTTATAGTGCTTCTTAAGCTTGGTTTATGCTTGACGCATTTACTTAACGCTTGGTGATGCGGCTCGCGGATGGAACGCGCTTCACAACTCGCAGCGTTTATGGTTCATGCGGCTTGTCTCTGTGGTGAGCCAATATTCTCCCAAACTGTAGGGGACAGCATGGAGCTCTACGGCATGCATCCAACACTACACCATAGTAGAAGTAGAAATTACTTCCGCTTATTTAAATGTATTACCTTTATTTAGTTAAGTTCAAGTTTCCTTGTCCGGGGATCAGACCGCCAAGGCTCCAGCCTCGGTCTGCCACCCGATCCACACTGCACCGGACCCTTCATGTTCCTCCTGCGGGTGGTGGGTCCACAGTTGGATGAGCCCATGTATCCGGTTCGGGCTGGGCCTGGCCGGGCCCCATGGGCGAAAGCCCGGCCACCAGGCGCTTGCTCACGGGCCCCAACCCCAGGCCTGGCTCCAGGGTGGGACCCCGGTAACCCACCGGGCCAGGTACTCCGACTCTTTGATTATACATCCATGAAAGATACTCTGAACCGTTCTTTGTCTCACCCTTCACCTAAGACCAATTTGTCATGGGAGACCCTACCAGGGGCACAAAGGGCCCCAGACAACATAGCTCCTAGGATCATTAGGACACTGAAACTCCTCCACCACGATAAGGTGACGGTTCAAGGAGGTCTTGCTGGGTAGGTTCGTGGCCGAGAGTGAAGCGGCTGGGATGAGGATCAGCACCGCCAAATCTGAGACCATGGTTCTCGACCCGAAAAGGGTGGCTTGCCAACTTCGGGTCAGGAGAGAGGTCCTACCTCAAGTGGAGGAGTTTAAGTATCTCAGGGTCTTGTTCACGAGTGAGGGTAGGAGGGATCGGGAGATCAACAGGCCGATTGGTTCATCATCTGCAGTGATGCGGACGCTGAGCCGATCTGTTGTGGTGAAGAGGGAGCTGAGCCAGAAAGCCAGGCTCTGGATTTACCGGACGATCTACATCCCAATCCTCACCTATGGTCATGAGCTTTGGGTAATGACCAAAAGAACGAGATTGCGGATACAAGCGGCCGAAAAGAGTTTCCTCCGTAGGGTGGCCGGGCTCAGCCTTAGAGATAGGGTGAGGAGCTCGGACATTCGGGAGGGACTCGGAGTAGAACGGCTGCTCCTCCGATCGAAAGGAGTCAGTTGAGGTGGTTTGGGCATGTGGTCAGGATGCCTCCTGGACGCCTCCCTGGGGAGGTGTTTCGGGCATGTCCTGCCGGCAGGAGGCCCCCGGGTCGACCCAGAACATGTTTATGCATTAACAAGACATTTGAATGAGTCGTGGTGGATGGCTGCTTACACTGAGCCAGGATCCTCTGGAGGTTTCTTCCTGTTAAAAGGGAGTTTTCCTCTCCACTGTTGCTGCATGCTTGCTTAGTAAGAGGATTGCTGAAAAGACACTGACACCAGTCAGTGACTTGATGCAATTTGCTGGGTTCCTTATATGGGAAACATTTTTACAGACTGGCTTGACGAACTGACCTGAAGTGCCTGGTAATTTTGACATTAAATAAATAAACTTAATTTAATTTAATGAATGATAATGAGGGCTGCTGTAAAGTTTAATCTTCAGTCCACATCCAGACACAATTATTCTTTCTTCTGTCTCATCAACAGCAGCTGGGATGTTTCTGCCCACAACGTTTTTTTCTTTTTTGATCCAAGAACACACTCCCCTACATATGCAGGTGGCATGCGCAGAGAAGGCATCTTTTTTCCAGATGAACTCAGTTGAACCTGTAGATAAAGGATCCTCCGAGTGATAGAATAAAGTGTTTGGAGACGATCTGTTGATGTGGAGTGTTTGTGAGTGTGGCCTCGACCTAGCTGCGCGACTACAGTGTCCTAATGCATAAAATAAGGCCCTTCTTTGAGTGTGTTCGGGAGGGGCGGGACGGCAGCGCAGAGGGGACTGTGGATGGCTGGTATTTTTTTGGAGTCAGGCAGATACTTTTACAGAAATCTCAGAGAATGACTGGAAAAACTACCGGTACTTATCATTCCCAGGAAAATAAAGTCCCGGTACGCTGAGAGGTAAAAATAAGAAATGCCAGTTCTTAAAGTACTGCATCGAATCATCACTAGTACTATTGGTTAAAATGCAGAAAGGCTGATATTCCTAATTTATCGCACAGAACAGCTAGACAACTAGTAGAGCTTACTGAGGCATTCTCCGACTGGTACCATTCTGGGATGGACACATGGTGGTTGGCCATTTTGCGAGGAATCCACTTTTTGGACTCAGCCTCCCACAGCATGGAGTTGAGGTCAGGAAAGTTGTGGTGAATGTCTATTCCATCATTGGTCCATCGGCCCAGAGACCAGCCGCTGAGCTCAGAACCCTGCAACAAACAGTCGAACAATTCAGAGGAAATAAAGGTTCCATGAGATCAAGGGTTTGTTTACTGTCATTTCTACAAATGTCAGACATGAGGTGGAATGAAATTTGTTTCCCTGGCCCCGGGTACAGCCCAGAGACATGATCAGATAATAGTGAAAAATAAAATAGTAAATAAAAAATGGTAGCAACATGTAAACACAGGTAACTTGCTCTTGTAGTCCATGCAAATGTTTGTCAGTCAGAGAATATCATCCATCTATTTTCGGCTGCTTATCCGGGGTCAGGTCGTGGGGGCAGTAGAGGCCCAGACGTCCCTCTCCCCAGCCACTTGGACCAGCTCCTCTGGGGGAATCCTAAGAGTTCCCTGGCCAGTTGAGAGAAATATGTCCTCCAGCATGTCCTGGGTCTTCCTTTGGGTCTTCTCCCAGTTGGACGTGCCCGGAAACCTCACCAGGGAGGCGTCCAGAAGGAATCCTTCACCAGAGATCCCAAGCAACCTCAACTGGCTCCTCTCGATGTGGAGGAGCAGCAGATCTACTCTGAGCCCCTCCTGGATGACCAAGCGTCTCATCTCTATCTCTAAAGGCCACGATAGACTTGCTGTTTAACCCCTGTTGACGCAGGCAGCAGGCTGCATCTTTGTTCACTTGCTGCTGCACGGTACTGCACTGCATGTAGTACTGGGGTGTTCCACTAAGGGGCGCACTAGACTACTCAGACCGAACAGAGAGTTGGGGTTTGTGGGTACAACCAAAACAAATATGGCGTCAATAGAAGATATCTGTAACTTAATTTTGAGATCACAACAGGAAAAAAGACAGCGTCTGTATCGTAGATGGTATGAAAGACCTCTACACCAGGGAGGGAGTGACCATGGTAAGTGTGTCTCGCTCCTTTTGTCAACTCCACCAACTGGTTACTCATATATTTCAGCGTTCAGACGCACTGCGTTAATTTCGGAGGACACACACAAACAATGCTTCAAATCAATGCAAGTAGCACATTTTTGTCATTAAACACACACGACCCTAAGCCAAAGCCCAACCACCCTGCAGAGTAAACTAATTTCAGCTGCTTGTATCCATGATCTCATTCTTTTGGTCACTACCCAAAGCTCGTGACCATAGGTGAGGGTAGGAACTCAGATCGGCCGGTAAATCGAGAGCATTGATTTCTGGCTCAGCTCTCTCTTCACCACGACAGATCGTAACAACGTCCGCATCACTGCAGATGCAGCACCAATCCACCGGTCGATCTCACACTCCATTTTTCCCTCACCCGTGAACAAGATCCCGAGATGATTAAACTCCACTTGGGGCAGGACCTCATCCCTGATCTGGAGAAGGCTTTCTACCCATTTCTGAAGAATATGATATAAAGATAAAAATCATGAAGAGGATTGAAAATTATTTATTAGTATGACTGTTGATGCATTAATAAATCTGCATTTATTTGAAAATCTTGGTTTCATATTTGCTCATCAAACCTGATGTATATCTTTGTAAAGTACAACCTGACCATTTCAGTTTTCACACAGATCAATGAGTAACATTAGGATTTCTGATAAGGGACAAACACATGCTCTTGGCGTCAGTTTGGTCTCTGTCTAGTTACCTTCCATTCAATCTCGGCCCTTCATTTAATCCTTCGACTTGATGTAACTAGTGCTAATTTACACTAGAACAGGCTGCAGAATGGCAGCCATTGTTCATTTGTATATTCCACTGGATCATTCCAGCTAATTTTTCAGGATGGACCTTTGCACTGTTGCAACAGTGTGTGAAGCAGATAAGGTGCTGTTTTCATGACAGGTCATCTGATGAAATGAGGTCACTAATGGCCATCTTGCAGACCTACCACTTCAAAGGCTTTCTCGTACCCATCGGGGTTGACGGATGGCAGGAGATGGATTCTGGTCTCTTCCACCAGATGACGAATCCGCTGGTTGCCAGAAAGATACTCCAGACACATGAACTGCATCAGCAGGAGGAGCAGCTCTCGTCCCAGCACCTCGTTACCATGGGAACCTGCAGTGTAACGAAACTCTGGTTCGCCTGGCCAGCGGGATCCCACGTAAGGAGCAAAGGGGAAAAGGTGGATGGGGATTAGTTTACGAGCAACTAACATAACACAGTAGAACATGCTGGGGAATGCTGTGTGAGAACATCATGTGGTTTGATTTTTACTTTTTTTTTTTTTAGATTCAACTGAACAGTCACATCAAGGCACATTAAACCAGCAATTTATAAATATTTTTGCTTCTGATCCATAAAACCACTAACATTTGATGGCAAAGACAACTTGTGCAAACATTAGTCAAAAAGCTCATTGTATTGCTGATCCCATGCTTTCGTTCTTTTTAAACACAGAAACAGTTTTGTTTACCTGTTTTGTAGCTACACTTTCGCCGACGGCTGCCGGCTTCTTCAGGCTGACGCTGATGGTGGCGCGTCACTTCCTTCTCCGTTTATCTGCGGGCAGCAGAGGACGTTGTCGCCCTCTACTGCCCGCTCTCCCCTCTCCGACGATGCAGTCCCATGCGTGGTCCAGCGTGTAAACTCCGTCGTCCCTGTTCATGGTCCCACATCCACGTCTCCTTATCTCGATTGCTTCCTTGATCCATCTTTTGTATTTTTGTTGTTCGGTGGTTATGATCCGTGTGCTGTCCCAGTCCATTATATGGTTTTCTCTTGTGCAGTGATCTGTTACGGCTGACTTTTTAATTGTACTTTCTGCTTCTTCTTTTGCTGCTCTTGTGTGTTTACGATTTGCCTCTTTCTCGCACTCCTTTCTGTGTTCTATTGTCCGTGTATTGAGTTGGCGTCCGGTTTCTCCTATGTATGTTTTATTGCATATTTTGCATGGGATTTCGTAAATGACTCCACATTTTTGTCCAGCTGACATTTTGTCTTTTGGGTGTACTAATCTGTTTCTAACTGTTGTGTATGGCTTTGTTGGTGTGTTTATGTTGTGTTGTGTTTTTTCATTGTTGCTTTAAAGACCTGCAGATACCCGACATGGGCGATAAACAAAGGAAAACAACAAACAAAAACAGAAAGCAAAGAACAACCCAAAAAAAGAACCAGAAACCCAGAAAGACAAGAACCAAAACCAGTGATAACCCTACCATACATCAGAGGCATAACGGAAAAAATAAGAGCAACAATGAAAAAACACAACATAAACACACCAACAAAGCCATACACAACAGTTAGAAACAGATTAGTACACCCAAAAGACAAAATATCAGCTGGACAATAATGTGGAGTCATTTACGAAATCCCATGCAAAATATGCAATAAAACATACATAGGAGAAACCGGACGCCAACTCAATACACGGACAATAGAACACAGAAAGGAGTGCGAGAAAGAGGCAAATCGTAAACACACAAGAGCAGCAAAAGAAGAAGCAGAAAGTACAATAAAAAAGTCAGCCGTAACAGATCATTGCTTAAGAGAAAACCATATAATGGACTGGGACAGCACACGGATCATAACGACCGAACAACAAAAATACAAAAGATGGATCAAGGAAGCAATCGAGATAAGGAGACGTGGATGTGGGACCATGAACAGGGACGACGGAGTTTACACGCTGGACCACGCATGGGACTGCATCGTCGGAGAGGGGAGAGCGGGCAGTAGAGGGCGACAACGTCCTCTGCTGCCCGCAGATAAACGGAGAAGGAAGTGACGCGCCACCATCAGCGTCAGCCTGAAGAAGCCGGCAGCTGTCGGCGAAACTGTAGCTACAAAACAGGTAAACAAAACTGTTTCTGTGTTTAAAAAGAACGAAAGCATGGAATTAGAAAGACACAGCAAGAACACACCTAAGAAGGTATTGCTGATCCATTATAGCTTTTATTTTCAGCTATTAGATAAAGAAAACTTTCAAAAGTGAACGATTTCAGCTTTGATTCATGGAAATCACTTCAAGACCCCCAAATGTAGTGTTTCCTGACCCAAAATGGAGTCCTGAGCCCGTAACCACTGCAGGAAACTACAACTCACCAACTTCATGCTCTCCTGGGTTGTCTGAGATCTCTATTGCATACAGCTTGAGGCCATTCTGTGACTTTCCTATGTTGTAGATCCGGGTGATGTTGGGGCACAATTCATTAACCACCTTCATAAACTGTGGAGGAACAATAAAAAAAAACTCATGATGAATTTTTTTGAACATGCTTCTTTTAACAACACAGTGAAAAAAAATCCATAAATAAAAATATTCCAGCAGAATCAGAGTTCTCATATTCTTCAGCATTAACAGCATTAACATTTAACAATAATGGGATGGGAAAAAAAACTATTTTTAAGGTACAAGAACATTGAAGAATCTGCTTCTGTGTACAAATAGTTTTCACCAGCTGAGAGATGAGAAGCATGCAGGCCAGGAACTGAGCTGCTTTAGTCAAATATGCCTCTAAGTATTTGTCAAATGTTATGAACAATGCTGCAATATCTGTAATAACCGTTTGTAATATAAATGTAAATCAAAGGCTTGGTAATCCTTAAAGGAAAGCATATCGCTGTACCAACCATCTTTCCAGCCTGTTTTTTAAGCTGGGATCGTCTTTTAACAAGGTAAAAGCTGTTATGATTTAATCTTGGAAAATAATTTCTGGCTCAAGTTCACACAATGCTGCAGAATCCTTCAATCTTACAATATCTGTCATCACCCAAAGTGTGTGTTGTGAAGGATTCTCAGATGCTAATGCTTCTAACAAAGTAACGATACAGTGTAGGAAGCCACACATCATTAAAGACCAAGTTCACTTAATTTTTCAACACATGTGCAGTGGTTTATAGTGTAGTCAGTCGATTTCTGTGAGAAAAAAGCTCTGACGCTCCTGCTTCAGGATGCAGAAGTTAGCCAGCAGAGTAAGATGGGAGGAAAAAAGCTCAGGTGTGCCTGTTTTGGGAAGTACAATTCAGCTGGAGAAGAAAGTAGCTTCAGACAACAGGATTTGGAATTTTATTTCCTAATATTCAAACATCTTACCTCTGATTGGATAACAGCAGTGTGACTCTACCTCTGACTCTGTTTGGTTTGCAACATTGATGTTTTATCTCCACAGATAACACAAGCCTGGAGGTGTTCTGCTGTGTGGTAAAGTTGCTAATGCTAATGGTTAGCTTCTACAAGCCGAGACATTCTTTGCTGATTCCTAGACGCTTGACCAACAACAGCCTTCCCTGTTGTGAGTCAAGATGGGTGAGTCCATGAAAGTTAAGTGACAGTGTGACATAGATCTGTCAAGCTTTCAAATCCTGGAGTTTCACCATCTATTTTCCATCAAAAGCTAATGCAGGAAATGGGTGTAGGAGAAAACTTTCATGTTCAGCCTCATAATCATAATTGAACAGTCTTAAACTAAAAGCAGTGAAACACTTGCTTGCTTGCTTACTTACTTACAGTGGCAGATTTAGCAATGTGGGGGCCCAAGACGAACACAGACATGGGGCCCCCTTACACAAAATTTTCAGCAATCTTATCTTTAACTGGATTTGCAAAACTCTCCCCTCTTCTGACATGAGTTATTTTCACTTTTTATTAGTCCTCCTCTTTTTTCCTGTCTTTCTCTTCCTTTTGAGTGCCTTCAATACTTGTTCTGCTTTCTTCTTCTTGTCAGTGCTCCTGTGCTTTTGCCTTTCTTTTTTTTTTCTTCAATTTTCCATTTTGGTCTATGTTTTCCTCCTTTTAAACCTTTTACATTGTCTTTCCTTTTCTGCTTCCTTTTGATGTTTACCTTGAAAAATGACATCACTTTTGGAAGTGAAGATAACAGCTTTTTTAAAGCAAGCTGCTTCTTTCTCTTATTGGAGCCACTAGGATAACTCAATTTCATGCTTTATGTTTTGACTATCACTTCGAGTTTGTTACAAACGCTCCCGCCTCTCTTCTTTTTCTGCTTTCTCTTCTTCTTATTATTATTATTTATGGTCTTATGGCACTTGGCAAAAAACAATTTGGTGCATCACTGCCACCAACTGGATTGGAGTGGAATAACTATACATCACTTCTTGTTTGTGCATCAACATCTTAAAAGAATAGTCCATTGTGGCATCAACAAAGGGGTGCCAGCAGTCAGGGCTAATGGGCTCCCCAACATAAGGGGGCCCCAGGTGGCCGCCGACTGACCTATGCCTAATGGTAAAACCGCCACTGCTTACCTACTTACTTACCTACTTGTATTGCTTTACGTGACATTTACATTTTCAAAATGCCCATTAAAACTTTTAGACAAGATGCTACTGGGCTAAGTCCATCGTTATTTATATTATTTAGCTTTATTAGTGTTTAAAATATTACTCTTAAAAGTTGAATATGGAACAAGTTATTTTTATTTTTTTAAATAACTCCACGAGACATTTAGAGGTGCAGAGTGCAGGTACAGAATCACCTTTAAAAGCTATATTTTAAAAAAACAATCACATATTTATTTTGACGGTACAATACTGGGTTTGTGTTTACATCTACCAGCCAATAGAGGGCACCATTGAGGGTTGCCAAACAGTCCGCTCGGCACTGCGAGGCTGGCACTGTGGAAAATGGTGAGTCAAGCAGCTACTTCTGAACCTAGAAGATGTCATTATTCTTTTCAGAAGAGGAGCGACCATAAAAGATGTAAAACCAGAGTAAGTTTAGATGAAGCCTACAACAGATGGACCAATATTTTAAAAAAAGCCACTTATCAGCAGCGAAGCTGGTGTCCTGACGGTTGGAAACCTTGTTCTATTGTTGCAACTACAACCTCCATACATTAGATGTCACTTTGGTGCTCCTGTTCTATATTCCACATTTAAGGTCATAGACATAATAAATCAAACCATAAGTTATTAACTTTTAGTCATTGTGTATCTTGTTCCAAAAACCAATTCCAGATATTAAAAAAATCAGTTCTGATCAATTTTACATTTTAATTTGATGTTTTCTTTGTGCATTTAGCACCAAATGTAGGATGGGCTCATTTTGAAGTCAAAACAATCAAATGACCTCACAAATCTGATAGAACATGCAAAGATATGTGTGTTATTATATTGAATAGATGAAAATATTCATGCTGTTTATTCTTTAATGAACATTTTAATACAAAGCATTCTTTGTCCAAGCTTTTTCATTGCTTCTTTTAATAATACGTGTCTCAAAAACAACACACACACACACACACACACACACACACACACACACACACACACACACACACACACACACACACACACCTCTGGTTATTGCAGGTTTCAAAGACTTTCTCAGCAGAGCTCTGTCACAGAGCTGATTTAGTCTCATTCCAGCTGGCAAAGGCAGCTTTGGAGAAGCAGTCAAAGCAGTTATGACGACAGGCTTTTAGAGGAACTGATTAAAACTGCAACATTTTTATTTACCCATATGTGCATCAGCGGGCACTCAAATAAGCACAGCAGGTAAAAAGATGAAGCAGCTGTGAAATGAAGCAGCTGTGTTAACTGCACACATCTGCATCGGCTCACTGCTCCAGCTGCGGATGAAGTCATTAACCACTCAGGTGTGATGGCGTTTTAATTAAGTGTGGGTTAAATCTCGACTTTTCTGACCAAGGAAATCACTAAACAAATGTCAGGTTTGCCAGTGGAATAAAGGATTACAAGACAGGGTGAAAGTCCAGGGGCCTCATTTAAAAAGCTTGCTTACGCACAAAAGGTCGGAAAACTGCGTAAGCAACTTTCCACGCAAACTTTGGGATTCATGAAAGAAAACTTAGCGGAAAAATGTGCGCAACTTTAAATTGACTAAGGACCGTGCTTACACACATTTTGGACATGGAGATCACCTGCAGTACTGCTGCTGAGGATAAAATTATGAAATCTTGCAACATTATCACTTGTACTGCTTCGTTTTCACACAGAACAAGACCCCCCCCACACGCACACACACACACGCACGCACACACACACACACACACACACACACACACACACACACACACACACACACACACACACAGCCTGAAGGGCAAAATACAGAATGCAGAATATTAGCAGGGGCACAGATTGAGACAGAATGTCAAGCGTCTGTGACAGTGTGTGTCCTGTCACTGTGACCCGATTGATCATGCACCCTGGCTAGCTGAACAGGGGAGATCTCCATTTGGCTGACTTTAATTTGGGAGTCTGGGGATCAAATCCCGATTGGACCATTGTTTTTATATCCGCCACAGATCTCTCTGAAGAATTCACAACATTGACGGCTTCAGCAACGCTGTGCCACTCCGTGGATTTTCTCTTATTTGTTTTGAAAAAATACTTCCATTCATTTCTCCACCTCACCCACAGGTACCTCAACTTCTGCTTCTGTGAAATTGCGCTTCCTTGATCTGCCTTGATCTACGGTCGCCATGCCATTGGCGGAGCGCTGCAACGGCCAGCTTATGTATATGCATGAGATCCACAAGGCACTCTATGTTGACTATTTATGGCAGTAAACGGGCATGGTGAGGGTGGGATATGACTAAAATGCAGCTGAGAAACATTCTCGTTAGTCTCCAATTTATGAAGTGGAGATTGCGTGCAGCTGTGCGTACTCCATGTTTGCTAGATCACAAACCTACTTAGCATAAGTACATTTATTTATTTATTTATTTATTTATTTATTTATTTATTTTGCTGAGCTTAAGTACGGTTTTAGTAAGGATTCTACGTAATGTTTGATAAATGAGACCCCTGCTCTCACTTTAATAAAGCTCAGTGTTCTCCTTATAAACATACCAGAAAACAATAATTTACCTGAATCAATGCAGTCTTCCTGGTTTAAAAGTGCTGGAAATAATGTCCTTCTATTTTTTACAGTGTTTAATGCTTGCATAGATTTCCCAAGACTGTAAAGTTATGATCTAAGGAACGAAAAATCCTCATGTAATTTTGGAGCAACTCTGTTCCTCTCATGGGGCGTGTTCTTTATTTAAGAAGCCATGAAAGCTCTGGTGCAGGACTATTACAGATACAGCCAAGGAAAAGAGGAGATAGATCTTGGTGCCTGCACAAAGAAGCTAAATGTCACGGATGAAAAGGAGTTTGAAAATGTGTGGCACACACGAGCCTCAAAACTAAAGGAGGAATTTTTTTGCAGGAATATTTTTAGGATCCAAGAACCAAAGCAGCAACTTTTACATTGAGTCACACAACAGCTGAAGAATGTTTCTTGTGGATGAGGTGAACAGCAGCAGCTCAGGACAGGCACAACGAGCAAAGTGACAAACACAGCTGTCCTCCTCCTCAGTCCAAACAGGCTTCTGCTCGTGACAACTTTATGAATAAATAACGACACAACCCAAAAGATGCTTCATGCATTTTCATGCTGCTGGAGGTGCTCTGTTTCTTTGCAAAAAGGACACAAGTTTACTGGTGGTGGCTCAAAGTTTTGCACAACCGTTTATTGCTCTGTGGTGAATAAGAAAAAAGTCAACTCATCCCCTTGACTCACCTGCCTCATCTCTTTGTAACCATGATGCTTGAAGTCCAAGTCGTCAGTGGTTATGATTTCGTTACGTCTGTGGTAGTAATTATTTGGATCTGGAATCAGATCAGAAACAGTTATTGATCCTTTTGTGATTCAAATATGTGGATTCACTCCTTTTATGTAGAAGGATCTAGGCTCATGGGATCTTAACATTCCAATCTGGGTGATTATTGGACTTTGGTGACAGGAGGTTTTAAAGTTTCCACTACAACGCTCACTTTCAGGAAGCTAAACTTAATCTGTAATTCCTCGTCTGGCATTGACGGATTATACAGTGACAGCTCAGCATTTTCTCTAAAGCAGAATTTCAGAAGGTATTCCAGATTCCCCTCACTGCCAAACCTCCACACATAAAACCAAAAGCAACACAGCATCCCTTATCCACGGCTAATCTCCGTTTGACACGGACCTCGTGTGTGTGTGTGTGTGTGTGTGTGTGTGTGTGTGTGTGTGTGTGTGTGTGTGTGTGTGTGTGTGTGTGTGTTGTTTGTGTTTGCACTGCTCACACAAACCCGTCACCTGGCAAAGGACAGCCAAGGATCTCCACTCTCATACAGATGCTGCCGCTGTGGAACCAGGAGCATGGATTGACCCGGATGTATCGGGCAACCACAGGTGAAGGGAAGATGTTCCGGACTGGGATTTCTTTCTCTCTGTTTCCAAGGAATATCTACTGAGTCAAACACACGATGCATATCTGATCAAGCTTTAATTTTACAGCTGTAAATTAATAAATGAAGGGCATGAAGACAAGAACTGGTTTCATGCACCTGAACAATGTCAACTTTTACTCCCTGGGGGGTTCTTTGTAAATTTTAACACCCACGTCTAGAGTTCTTCTCCACCTTTTCTGGTATTTTGAAAGGCCAACAGATCAGTTTGGCATTTGGCACAAAGGGTGGGTGTGTGGGTGGGAGGAAAGCTTGTAGCTAAGACTAAAATTACTGCAGGGGGCTTAATCACCCACACAGATGATATCACCAGACACCAGAGTGTGCACTTACACTAAACTTAGTTCACTAGATTGTAAAGCAAAGTATTTTTTTTAAAGAAAGAAATAGGAAAGATAATTCACACGACTGTCGGTCTATCCAGCTACATCAGGATAACAGGTTCTGAGCAGAAACTCTGAGAAGATGAGTTCCCATCTGTAGGAGAATCATTCATATTTACTATCACCTCACAGCTCATTAAGCTTGGAAATAAGCAGGTATCGAAATATCGAAATCTTCCTCTGCAATTCCTCTCAAGCAAGGATTCATTTTTCTTTTTGTTCCAATTAACCAGTAACCAGAGCCGGTTTGTAGCCCGTTAACAGGCTGTGAGAATGGAACTAGTGTTTTCTGTTGCTTTTGGATGTCAGAGGATGTAACTCACCAAGTCCTCAGAGCCATTCTTAAGGGTTACCCAGCTGTGGCTGTCGTTGCTGACCATGACCTTGTAAGATGTCACCCAGTCGCTCCTGTCCACATTGAGACAAAATCAGAGTCATACAAGAGAAAAATCAATATTTTCATGTTGAATTTAATGCATATAGAGCACTAAGGAGATCTAGCAGAAGTAGCTCAGTTCACATCCAAGCATGTTTAAAGCCTCCAAGGATGAAATCCTATTTACAAACATTACTTCTGGAAATAATAATAATAATAATACATTTTATTTCAACAACGCCTTTCTAAACACTCAAGGACACTTTACAGACAGAAATAAAATACACAACAATAAAAGATAGAACAGCATAAAACAAACAGACAGATTGGAGCAAAGAGAGTAACTATTGGAATGCTATATGGTACAGGTGGGTTTTGAGTCTGGTTTTAAAGAGAGTGAGGGAGTAAATGTTACGGAGGTCAGGAGGGAGTGAGTTCCAGAGCTGGGGAGCAGAGCGACTGAAGGCCCTGCTCCCCATAGTGACCAGACGGAAAGGTGGGACAGAGAGGTGGATGGAGGAGGAGGACCTGAGGGAACAGGTGGAAGTTGAAGGATGAAGGAGGTCTGAGAGGTACGGGGGAGCTAGATTATGGATGGCTTTGAATGTATATAGCAGAATTTTGAATTGGATTCTGGAAGTGACTGGGAGCCAGTGGAGCTGCTGAAGAACAGGGGTGATGTGGTGGAAGGAGGGAGTTCTGGTAATGATGCGGGCTGCCGAGTTCTGGAGAAGTTGGAGTTTACGGAGGGATTTGTGAGGAAGACCGAAGAGAAGAGAGTTGCAGTAGTCAATACGGGAAGTGATGAGGCTGTGGACAAGGATGACGACCGAGTGAGTAGTGAGGTAGGGGCGTAGGCGGTTAATGTTACGTGGATGGAAGTAGGTAGACCGGGTAATATTGTTTATGTGGGACTGGAAGGATAGTGAGGAGTCGAGAATGACACCCAGACTCTTGACCAGAGGGGAGGGGGAAACTAAGGAGTTGTCGACAGGAAGTGTAAAGCTGTGGATTTTGGATAGTAAGGATTTAGTGCCGACAAGTAACATTTCTGTTTTATCACTTTTAAGTTTGAAAAAGTTTGATGTGAACCAGTCTTTGATTTCAGATAAACAATTGATGAGGGAGGAAGGGGGGAGTGAAGAGGAGGGTTTGGAGGATACATAGAGCTGGGTGTCATCCGCGTAACAATGAAAATGGATGTCAAATTTACGGAAAATATTTCCTAGGGGAAGAAGGTAAGTGATGAAAAGGAGTGGACTGAGAACAGAGCCTTGGGGGATGCCGATAGTGACAGGGAAGGGACGGGAAGTGAAGGATTTGAGTTGAATAAACTGAGTACGGCCAGAGAGATATGAACGGAACCAATCAAGCGGGGTATGAGAAATGCAGAGGGAAGACAATCTATGGAGGAGGATGGTGTGAGAGATAGTATCGATGGTATAAATAAGCAATTTATATTATAAAGTAATTTTTTTGCATTTACAGCAGCGCAGAATGAATAATTAAAGGGATTTTCAAAGGTTTTTTCCTTCCATCGTTTGAAAAGATTGATATATTTTATATTAAAATGTCATTTAGGAACAGCCCCTTATATTAGGCAAAAACACACAGAAATGTAAAATTCAACTGAAGTACTCTTCACTAATTATGTTTGTTCTCACTTTTCTCAGACTTTGTCATGATGTGAAGTTGTTTGTTAGGACCCAAATGCAGGAGAGAGCAGTCACAGGAAGCAAGTTACAATACAAAAAAACTGATTTATTTGAATAATGGAAGGTAGGAAGACAAGACGAGGACCTGACCCAGACCAGCACAAGCAGAGGGTTTAAATACATGAGGCTAATTAGTGAAACAGGTAAGGAGGGGCAGGTGAGTTTAATCAACACGAACAAGGGAGACGAGACACCAGAGACTCAGGAGGGTACAGGAGCAGATCCTGACACTTTTGGGACCTCTAAAGATTCATAAATGTAGAACGGTAAATGGCCGGTATTTGATTTAGCGTCTTCTAGACTCCTGGAACCCCTCAAGGTGCTTTACAACACAAACAGTCATTCACCCATTCATTCACACACACATTCACACACACACACACACACACACACACACACACACACACACACACACACACACACACACACACGCGCTCTCTCTCTCTCTCTCTCTCTCTCTCTCTCTCTCTCTCTCGCTCTCTCTCTCACACATGATCCACTCCCATTCCTTTCTTATCTGTTTGTATAAATAAACTCTGTGACCAGATGTTCGGGGCATTTGCCCTACACACTTGCCACAAAATCATGATTTGGTTGTATGTCTGCCTTATTGCTTCTTGTCCCTCTCTCTAGCTGCAGGAAATGGGTTTATTGATAAACATATTGATAAAATGTCTAACACATATTATAACTTTTTTTCATAAATTAAAATGGTCCTACTCTGAACCAAGCATGTTTATGAAGTTCTATGCACTAAATCCTTCTCACACAAAGTAATTTCAGCAGTTTTATACTTGTCAGTTTCAGTACCTTCCAGCTCCATTTTAGGGCTCTGTCATTTTAAGAAAAGAAGCTGGAGAGGGCCACAGCCACTCATCCCTCACTCTGGCTGCTATAAGCTAAGAAACTCCAATATCCAGGAGGGGCTTGGAGTAGAGCTGCTGCTCTCCTAAAGGAGAGATGTGGTTGTGTGACGTCCTAAAAAGCGACCCCTTTCACTTTTATTTATAAATTAATTCATAGAATTTTAAAAAGATAGACCAAAATGCGAATAAGATCATAATATTGACAAAAATGTTCACTATCAAAAGTTAACAGTTATAATGTAGAGTTTAACATTGACTAACTGAGAAGGAAATACAAAAAAATGTAATGTAGAGCACTTATGATAAGGGCATCAATCATAAAACCATTTTAAATATTCTCCTTAAGAGTTTGCTAAATATATCTCATTCCATAATGTGGGCTAGGGCTCCACCCAGAGTGCTGCATAAATGTTTGGGAACCTCTTTTCTGGATGAAGACATCATTCCTGAGCTGGTCCAGCCCAGTAAGAATTCCCAGTTCTGTTAATTAAAACGCCGTTACAGGCAGGAGCTCCTGATCTGGCACTGCAGACAGCTACAAGCCCAACACAGAGCTGATTGCAGCATAAAAATTCCCTCTCAGGCATTGGTGTCTTCTGCAGCTTCAGATAGCACTTGCCTTGAAGGCAAATCACAAAAATAGCTTATTAGATAATCCTCCTTGTCTCTCAAACTGTTCTGCAGCTTTCAGAAGAACGTGCACGATCCCTCTCCAATTACAGAACATAAAGGCCAAAAGTTGTCGATGTTTTTTCCAGGAAAGTTTGATGATAAAGGACTGAAGAAGATCCGGGGCTTAACGCACACACGCGCGCACACACACACACACACGCGCGCGCACACACACGTGACACGCACTAGTCAACATCATATATGTCTTGTACCACATAATTTTTAATCTGAAGCTACATATTAAGCATATTCAGGGCAGAGTATTGTTCCTGTTAGTGTTTAGTGTGAGATTATAGTAAATATTCCCTTTCTTTCTAATTCACCTGACAAGCTAACTTTAGGCAAACCAGCTGCACAGCAAATATTTTCAAATAAGACTCACAAACCTGAGTCAACACCAGTCTCATCAAAGCTGGGGTTCTGTCGTTGTACTTTTTGCCTAAAAAACGTCCTTATGTCCATCTTCACTCATGCGTTTCAGGCAGAGTGTAGAAAAAACAGGCACTGAAGAAGAAGCCGGTGTCGGTACAGTATCTGCTCGGGTGCAAGATCGGCTCGGGGTCCTTCGACTGCCGATGACGTCAAAGTACGGCAAACCGACTTGGACAAAATACACTACACCTCTATACTGTTGGAAAGAATTTAGCACTTTCGTTATTAAAATAACGTTTCTTAATTTGTGTTTATAATGGTATTAGTAAAATAAAACACTATATCTTATTCATAATGTTGAACTCCTCTTTGAGCACATCCCTTGAAGAATCATAGGTATTAGCAACACCTGTGAAATTGTATTTGCAGGAAAGAAGTGTGTCCCGTTTATTTAAGTATTTTGTGTTTAGAGTTTTTGACGTCTTGTCATAGACTGTAGCTGCTAGCCAAAACACTGGAGTTAAAAGTTTTCTGGCTTTACTAAAAAACCTGTCTGTATTTATTTGATTGATGGTATTTTTACTTTCTATTAGACTCCAAATGTAATCATTTGGCACGTTTGTAATTCATTATTTGCAATAATGTAATCGGCGATATTAGCAATAGCATTCCTATGGGTTTTTCCATGTATATTAGCATTGCGCTAACCACTCGCTGCCAAATTGCAGCCTTTGAGATTAGAAAATCTCCTGGCTTTACTAAAATACCTGTCTGTACTTATTTGATTGATGGTATTTTTACTTTCTATTAGACTCCAAATGTAATCATTTGGCACGTTTGTAATTCATTATTTGCAATAATGTAATCGGCGATATTAGCATTAGCATTCCTATGGGTTTTTCCATGTATATTAGCATTGCGCTAACCACTCGCTGCCAAATTGCAGCCTTTGAGATTAGAAAATCTCCTGGCTTTACTAAAATACCTGTCTGTACTTATTTGATTGATGGTATTTTTACTTTCTATAAGACTCCAAATGTAATCATTTGGCACGTTTCTAAATCATAATTAGTAATAATGTAATCGGCGATATTAGCATTAGCATTCCTATGGGTTTTTCCATGTATATTAGCATTGCGCTAACCACTCGCTGCCAAATTGAAGCCTTTGAGATTAGAAAATCTCCTTTTGTCACATCGCAATTTAATTGCACATGCAGTTAATCGTTCAGCCCTAATATACATGCAGCTCTATGCTACAAGTGTATTTTCAAAGAGGTAATGATGGATTTCTTTGTAAAAGTTGTCCATCTTTCCAATAGAAAGATTTGCCTGGACCAACGTAACATGATAACAACGTAACGTGATAACAACGTAACGTGATTACGTAATTCCGTAAGGTTCATGTTCAGCCAATCAACTACTGAGACGTCATCGGCAGTCGACGGACCCCGAGCCGATCTTGCACCCGAGCAGATCCTGTACCGACACCGGCTGCTGAAGGGCTTCTTCTTCAGTGGTGGAGGCTCAGGCAGGCTGTTTACAAACTACTGCCAGCTGCTCCCTCTCTGTTGGACTTTGGTACTGCATGTTACTTCCGCGATTTAGATCCGGGGCTTTTCATGAAACATCCGGGGCTTCAGCCCAAGTAGCCGGGCCTAACGCTGCCCCTGTGATAAAGGATTAAGTTGGCTATGTTAAGGAATGAGAAAGTGCAATGAGATAAATGATATTGGTCTGTTGTGTCTCATTCTTTATTTTTTAATATTAGAAGAAAAAATATATTTTTATGGTTTTAATATTAGTAAATGACAAATCTAATTTTCAGATTTATTTTTGTGTGTTACTGAATAGAAAACATTTCAAAGATTACCATTCTGGTCATTTAATTTTGTTAAATAATCTATGAAATAGCTAACTTCCTTCTCAGTGGTGGGCCTGATGTTGTTGTGTAGAAATGTAATGGTTACAAAGGTAACAGAACATTTCAAACGTCTAAAGGGCCGTACTAAAAATAGACATTTTCACAACTTTAATGTATTCCTCTTTTTGGATAATCACTGATTTGTGAAGCACAACCTAAAGGTTTAATGAATGTGAAAGAACCAATTAATCACAGCTAATGCCTCATAAATCATTTCTATGGCATTCCTCATCCAAAAAAGGATCCAAAAGCCATTCCAATAATCCAATCAGCACAAAAAAGCCAGTCAGTCAGACCTCTTCTGTCCTGCTTCTTGACACAGATTGTTTCTGTATAATATAGATCTCAAAGTTGGACAAAACTGAATTAAATGAATGCATCAGAGTGGTCTGAGGATTTTTTTTTTTGGCTCGGAGGCTTTCTAAGTGATTATATTTGTATTCACAACACATGTTCTGGAAAAAGGAAGATTTAAATTCATTTAGAAACAAATCAACTTTAGGATTTAATGGCTGAACCTTTTTCACCCTCTCAGGGTGAAAATACTTCAAAGCTCCGACAGATTGCCACCAGCAGTTTGATTGAGCGCTACACCTTGCATGGAACCATGCATGCTGACGTTTTTAAAGACATGAAGCATGGTTCCAGAAAACCATAGAAGAGTAGCATGCTTTACATCAAAACTGCAGAGTTGATAAATGATGTATGCAAGGTGTCATCTCTACTGCCAACAAGGAGGATTGATCTGTAGAGTAGACACTTTGTTCTTTTGTGCCTTTAACCATACATTCACTGGTGTTTTTGGCTTCAAAATAACACATATTTGATTTTTTTCATGTGTTATTTGTACAGACAAGGAGGATTAGTTTCAGTTTGTTAAGTATTATTTGAGGAAGGTAAGTCATTGAGGAATTTCCATCTTTACAAGTATTTTTTTCAACAACACACCAAAGTTGTATCAAAATATGTAGACAGATAATTATAACCCACTCATCATGTCCTCAGAAAACATTCTGTCCTTTATAACCTATTTTCCACACAAGAGTTAGAAGTTATGAAAAACTGAGTCTGCACTCAAATCAATCAAATCCATAAATCCGTAATCCTACTGAGAAGTTCAGAAAAAAAACCTAAGTCACACATAAACAAAGGTGTAGCGCCATCAGAGGCAAGACAGAAAAGCTTCATTTTTCTTTTCTGCGGTGTCAGATTATCCATCTGGTTTTGAAGGCAAATCAAACTCAGACTTCTGGAACAAAATTATTTGTATCTGTTTACCTCCAATACTCATGTCTGAGTTGTTTTAAATTAATGCTATAGGTAATTAGATACTTGGCAGTCAGTTTACTGAGTTTGGGCTTGTATTAGATGAGTAACAGGCGAGGCTCCATGCATTTTATAACCATAGTTTTGTTGCTTTTAAAAAGATCTGGAATTCATTAAACTGGCAAAATCCATCATTTTTTTTTAGCATCAACTTGGAATAAAAAAAAGTTCTGTGCAACTTCCTACTCACGACCAGAGGGAGCTCCTGCCCTGAGTGATGACCCCGGTGAACCTTGTCAGCCTCCTGGCATCTACCTCAAACCACTGAAGGGGGTCATTTCTCCCAGCACACCAGGCCCCATCATACAGGTCATCTTCATAAAGGCCAGCCTGCAGGCCAGACACAGTCATGTCATGGTATAATTAAATCACATAGACATTATATTTTTTATTTACAACACAAAACCTGATTTTCTATTTTTTTTTGACAAATTCAGTAGATAATGAAAAAAATCAATGAGATTTGCATTTGTTTATCCTTTTCCTTAAAATGTATATTGAGTACTATAAACATGATCTCTGGTATGACGGTACAACAGGTACAAGCTAATTCTTAATCTGGAAGAAATAAACAATTTAAAAAATACATACAATACTCACTGTTCTATAATGATTTGTTCTCTTTGAAGTAGAAATTCCTCCTTGTAACAGCATATCATTTAAATTTAGAACTGAATTTGACATAACAAAAGTGCATGAAGAAGTAATAGTGACATCCTGTCGTCAAATATGGGTACTGCGGTCAATGTTTCAAAACAAAGAGTGTTAAACACCTCTGGGAACTCCTTCAAGACTGTTGGAAAACCCTTTCAGGTGACCACCTCTTGAAGATCATCAAGAGAATACCAAGAGTGTACAAAGCAGTAATCAGAGCAAAGGGTGGCTATTTAGAAGAAATTTATTTTGTTTTCTGTTATTTCACCTTTTTTGGTAAAGTACATAGTTTTGATGCCTTTAGTGAGAATCTACCGATGTAAATGGTCATGAAAAATAAAGAAAGCACATTGAATGAAAAGATGTGTCCAAAATTTTGGCCTGTACTGTACATACGACAAACCACAACGTTGAATTATATAGAACACAAACTATTTACCAAAACAAAAGTTTCCAGTTAAAACATCTTAATGTGCAAAGAGTGAACACACAAGCTGCTGCAAAGTGCTTTTTACACTTGTCACATCTCGTGTAGAGCAGCACAAACATAGCCGGTGTGCTACCATTAAAGCCTTTTGTAACTATGGATTTTTTCTATACAGTTCATAGTTGTTGTGTTTTTTTTACTGCAATTGGAAAAAAAATAAGTTGAACATTAGGGTGAAAAAACACTAATCAGAAATATTATCATTAACACATCATCTCAGACAGGAATTCAAGTATGTGACTTCAGCAAGCTGATGTGCTAAACCTACCTCCTGTAGCAATAGGGATTATTGTGGTGTATATTTATGTACCAAAGAAAAGAAAGATAATCCTAGTGAGCTTGTTCCACTCAATATTTGGTCTATCCAAATTTATTGTACAGGGATGGATGACATTTCCAAATACTGAAATTCCAAGGGAGTTCTGTTTAATGTTCTGTTAGTCTGTCGGGCAGCAAAATATTTCAACAAATTTAAATGACAAATTCATAATGTGTTGGATTTATTTCTACAGTTTGGTAGATCCAGGTTCAGGCTCTGTTTATCAACTATTCACTTCAAACTGGAAGATGGGGCTCTTCTATGCTTTATTTTCTGACATTGGTGTGTGTTTACCCTTGGTAATGTGAAATTAGACTTTTTGAGCAGAGAATAAAATGTCTAATTGGACTGTACTCACTTCTTGTATTTAGTACTCTACTTCTCTTATGACAGTAGTCACAAGATTTGAACATCTTAGGTGTGTTCAAGATTTGTTGATTTCTTTGGAGGTTTCTTTCACTAAGAGACATTTAAAGTCCACCAAGTTGGACAGAGCATCAGTGCACATTGTTCAGGCATTACCTGGGTTTAAGTTTAGATCCTGTTTGGTTCATTCAAGGACTGTTACAAAGTTTTACTAAAGCCATTCTTATACTTGTTGTGCTCTTTATTTGTGTGACATTTAAGTCTTCAACGGTGTGTGAGTGTGTGTGTGTGTGTGTGTGTGTGTGTGTGTGTGTGTGTGTGTGTGTGTGTGTGTGTGTGTGTGTGTGTGTGTGTGTTCTGTCTTCTTGATCCCCAGTGAGTCGTGGCGGATGGCTGCTTAAACTGAGCCAGGGTCCTCTGGAGGTTTTTTCCTGTTAAAAGGGAGTTTTCCTCTCCACTGTTGCTGCATGCTTGCTCAGTATGAGGATTGCTGTAAAGACGGGCTACGTTTACATGGGCACAACTAAATGGTATGAATGCCCTGTTAGATCAAAATTTCTTCATGTAAACCGACGGTGTAAACATATCAGTTGGAATATTCCGATCCGATACGCACCAATCGGGATGAAATTCCATTCCGATTGAGAGAGGTTGTTTTGTCTGATAATCATTCCAGTTGACGTCTGTAACCCAGAAGCTAGAACCTTAATGAGGTATTAACTAATTGGCTTACTAATATGATCCATCCTCAATTTAGATAAAATATAAAATATAAATTAAGGAAATTAACAATACTAATTAATAGATATCTAATTAACTAATAGATAATTTCATAATGAATTATTGGAAGGGTGAATAACTAAAATAACGAGTTTAATATTAAACATCGGTTAAAACAAGAATCTTGAACATCACTAACAGAAACAGAAGAGGAAAGCTGTATACTATTGGTCCAGGTGGGAATCTGAAATTTCATTGGCTGAGAGAAATAAGTCCCGCCTCCGCGAAATAAAACCGTGCGACGCAGCTGAGCGAGAGGAGAGACAAACGGCTGTGCAGCACGCAGATACAGAAAGCAAAGACTGAGCGGTTAGAGAGAGAGAGAGAGAGAAAAAAAACAACGGTCGAGGCCGTGAAGAACCCTGATTTGGGTGCCGCATAGATAGAGGGAGAGGCGGACTTGACTCCTTCTAATAAGAGCTAGGAACTTGGAACCAACGCGATTTGTGTGGAGACGACAGAGTGAACCAATCCTCTGTAGGAGGGAACCGTTGGAGCGCGTTGGCTGGGTTTTTTTTTTTTTCCCTTGGGTTTGATCCCGACTCCTATGATCACTCACTTGGAACGAGAACTGGATTTCTTCCTGACGAGGGAGATGGCGAGCCTTAACCACTGAATGAACCAGGACATCTCAAGTAACTGAAGAGCAGACTGCTCTCTTCTGTGAACAATCTCAACGGTGTGGTAGGAAAAAATCGCACCACCGGACTCTGACTTTCACCCCAAGCGTGGGGATTTGACTTGACGCCGGCTGACTTGTGACTCATATGATCAAATCTCATACCGACCAATTTACTATTGTCGATTGTTTTCATCTGTTTTTGTGTGTTATCTTTATGTGTTATATTTCCCATTATTATTAAAATTTAGTATATAAACCGTTTCATGCTATACCTGTGACTCCAGTCATTCTTAAACAACCTCCAATTCTCCCCGAACCTAATTATTGGCCCATTTGTTTATTTTTTCTTTTAATTATCTTATTGTATCCTGTAATCCGGTTACATAAAACTTGGCGAGCCAGCCAGGAGAATTGTAGAGTTGTTACCTTAGCTAACCATTGACTGACATCATAAGAGTGCCTGGAGGTCACAGTGGTTTGCCATTTTGGCATTATTGGTACTTTTGAGTGTTTTAAAATGGAAGTTGTGAAAACAGAAAAGGTCAAAGTTTCAAATGCTGTTTTAATCAGTGGGTTAACTGATACAGACCTTGATAACGAAGTCTTTGGGTTTATGGAAGGATTCGGACCAGTTAACAGGCGCATTAAGTTACCAAACTGTGATCAGATTATTGTGGAGTTTCAACATGAAGCCACTGTTAAGGAATTAAAGAAACAATGTTTACCCTATGACAAACCTTGTACTAGGAACCCAGATGTTTTCTTCCATATTCAAGACCTAGCCAGCGCGTACAGTCTAGAAACTAGCACATCTGCCACTGATGCCTATCTGTCAGAGCTCAGGGACATAGCTGCGCGTAGCAATCAATCATTTAAAGACCTTCTAATGGAGGAACTGGCAAAAATTGGGGAATCTTTAGGAAGGGATACCCATGCATCTGAACCAGTCACTGAACCAGAGCCAATGCTCCATAGTGACCAAGTTACATATTCCCTGCCTTTAACACCAGAAGTTAACTATATGAACAACTCAAAGGACAATTGTCCACCTACAGAGACTGGAAAACAAAACCCTTGCATTCCACCAAATCTTTTAAACACACCTGAGGTTCAGCGAGTTATTGTGGAACACATTGTTAAAAGCAGTGAGGTTATCCCTCCGCCTACTTCACAATACAGACTAAAACCGTTCTCAGGGCGAGTTCCACACCCTTCTTTTGAAACTGACTATGATACTTGGCGTAGTAGTGTAGTGTTATGCATAAATGATCCTTCACTCACCAAGTCCCAAATTGTACGAAGAATCGTGGAGAGTCTGTCAGCCCCAGCAGCGAGCATCGTTAAAGCTCTTAGTCCAAAATCCGACCCGGAAACGTACCTTGAACATCTCGATTCAGCTTACGCAGCTGTCGAAGACGGCGACGAGCTCTTTGCTCGCTTCTTAAACACAAACCAGGACAGTGGTGAAAAACCTTCCGATTACTTTCAGAGGTTATACACCTTGTTAAACCTAGTTATTCAGAGGAATGGAATTTCCTCCAGTGACGCCGACCAGCAGCTGCTCAAGCAGTTTTGCAGAGGCTGTTGGGACAGCTCGCTGATTTCAAACCTGCAACTCGAACAAAAGAAAGACAACCCGCCTCATTTTACAGCACTTCTCCTCAAACTGCGCACTGAAGAAGACAAACAGGCTACTAAAGCAGCACGCATGAAACAACACTTAGGGGCACAACGAACTAGAGTGTATTCAAATGTGCAAACAACATGCTCTCAGAGTAAAAACACTTGTGAACTGGAAATAGATGATAACTGTGATGACTTACGCAAACAAATCGCTGAGCTCAGGAGCCAAATTGCACAGCTTAAGGTTAACAACACAGATAAAAAGGCAAAGAAAACTCAAAAAGAGTCAAAACCCCGTGTGGGGACTAAAATTCCAGATGAGCCCAAACAGATTCAGCAGATAACAGCAGTGGTGCCCAGACCAAAGCCTGGATACTGTTTTAAGTGCGGAGAAGATGGGCACATAGCTTCTAGCTGTAGCAACGAGCCAAATCCAGCACTAGTTGCAACTAAAAGACTTGCTCTTAGACAGAAGCAGC